TAATTAGCAAGAAGTATGAAGAATCATATTTTGGTAATGATTAAATAGAAGAGAAAAAAAATTAACTATTAAATTTTTATAAATAATTAGTAGTTATATTTGAGAATATGCATATAAAATTTTTGCACATTTTAATAATAAAAATAAAATATCTTACCTATTATAATAAATTTCAGATATTTATATCAATCACTATATATGTTATTTTTATTAATAAATTTATTATAATATGATAATAGATATTTATTATAATAGACTGATTTTTTTAGCTCAAGAAATTTATTATAACAAAACTAGACTGTATAATAATTTTTTAAAAATATAATTATATTAAATAAATATTATAAAATAATTTTATATTAATTATAATTAAAATATATAAAGTTTATTATAAATAATTTATAGATTTATTTCAAATTTTATATATATTTTTTCAAGTTTTATTTTAATTTTCATTATTATAAAATAATAATTTTTATTTATTAATTTATTAATTTAATAATATATTTTAAATAAAATTTTATATAAATGATTAAAATAATAAGTTTAAAAATTTGATTATTTTTTTTTAAAGAAGAATAATATAATATTTATAAATATAAGTGAAATACTAATTTTTTAAAAGTTTTTGCAGAATTATAATAATTATTTTTATAATTTCTTAATATATTTATAAATAATTTTTTGATAATTATCTAATATTTGAAAAGATAATAATATTTATTTATTTTAATAAATAAAATAAACAAATATAATATGTAATTATTTAAAATATATTATATATATTTTACTTAATTATATTCTGGCTAATATTATAATAATATTATTATTTTCTATATAGATTATATATATTTGTTATATTATAAGAGATATGTCATTTTGTAATTTCTTTCAATTAATAATTTTATTCATTTAGTATGTTTATATATTATTAATATTAAAAATTCAATTATATAAAACATGATAATCATCTTATTTATGTGCTCATAATAAAAATTATATAATAAATAACATGTCTCTAACAAGTTTACTTAATATTATTTTAATAATTAGATAATTTTTAAATATAATATTTAATTTATGGATAAAATTTTTTAATATGTATTCTCTTCATATAATAAAGCTCTTTTTTAATTTATATTATTTAGAACTCAGAAAATTAAGTCTTCTAATTTTTTAATTTTATTTTTGACTAAAATAAAATATTTCTATCAAAAATATTAAACCGACTTATTATCAAGATAACAAAGAATCTTTTCATTCTTATTATATGGCGAGAGCTGTATTATCATAAATTTGCCAAATAAATGTAGTTATTCAACATTACTACTTTCTGAGCTTCAAACACAATAAATGATCCACTGTTGTCATATGTTCAAAGATCATTAAAGAAATTGCACTTTGGCTATCTACTTATTACACAAAATCCTTGAATATCCAAGCAAGCCGAAGTGGCCAATGCTATCAGTAAAAAATTCTTATTTCATAAATTCTGGTTTATCAGGAAGATATACTATAATTTGTTCCTGGAGCCAATTTTTGTGGTTTTAATTAGTGCTTCGGTTTAACGAGGTTACCGGTGAAAAATTTGATCAAAATTATTCCCAGCATTCACGTGAAGAGCATTTGCTGGTGCTGGAAACTTTCTTTCTGAATCTCTAACCTAGTCCTTGCAATATTCATGTATTTCGACATGTTATATGTCTAAATTATATCGGAGTGCTGTGCTATTACATTTCTCACATCACATAAGGGTACAAAAAATAATATCATTAATTAGAACCTCTGATCTGGCAATACAGAAGATCAATAAAATTTGTGTTGATACTCAACAGCTCTAAAGCCCGATATCATAACAAGAATTGCACGATAGTTATATTCAAGAAATATGGAAACTCCAAGGTTTTGGGATATCCAGAAATGTTTTAAACTTTTCCAACTTTAAATCTAACGACACTTACTTTAATGATCATTATAGTTCAACTTCAGTATAGATTCGTTTTAGTAATTTTATTTTTTCAAAAACACTATTAGAGCTTTTTTCGATCATAAATGTAAACATATACATAATACGTAATTTAATTTTTCTCGAGTTTTATTACTTTTATAAATAGTTTAATTGCACAGTACAATTATGGCTAATATGGCTAAATGATTGTTGTCTGCATGATTATCAGTTCAAAGATAAGAGAATAACCAATAATAATCTCGATATGCATAAAGACAAACAAGAAAAATTTATTAACAATGGTTTATGCAAGCCTGATTGAATAAAACCAAAAATTTAAAAAGGAAACTTCTCCACACGCAGCTGACATAAAGATGCCATTCAATGCAATCTCCGTTGGCATAATCAATAACGAGCACATACCTCCTTTTACATGTATTTCACCACCACCTCCACCACAAACTATAGACATCTATTTCCTATTATGCTGCACACTGAATTGTGACCGTTGAAAAAAAATTATCACATTGGATATGATCATGAAAGCAAATTAACTTTTCCAGGACAATTTACTCGCCATGACCGAAAAACATATCGACTATAGAATCAAAGATTATAGACGTCTTACCTAACATTTTTAATTATACTTACGTGAATGGTAGTCAATTTTCATCATTTTTTATTATAGTTCATTCGATCGGTTTTTTTAATTTTCGTTCTGGTGATAATTTCATTATCGATAATAACCAGAATAGATTTCCTTATTTGCAGTTGTTTTTCCCCGCATTCATACAAAATTGAAGTGTTTGTTACCATAATTTGTTTTAAACACAAAATTTCAAAACTTCACCCTTGACATCCAAGGAGTTTTGTCGGAACTGTTGTGCGCCATCTATATAAATTACTTTAACAATATAATGCTAAATAAATAAATAGATTTTATATATCAGATAATGGCGTTGGGCGTGTTTCTATAATATCTCTGTTGTACTACATGTACTATTTCCCCACTGTTTACTTTTTTTTTCGGTTGATTATTTCTTGAAATATCTTTTTGATGCATCGCGTCTTACGTCGTTATTTGAATTGCAATAAATTTTCCCCAAAAATATATATATATATATATATTATGTTGTAAAATTATAATATATTTATTGAACAAAAGAGGACAATGGGCTCGAAAATACCTTTTGACATCTCTGATCACAGAAAAGTTGTGCCACTTGTCGCATTCATCAATGCTGAATGTTAATTACTTTTTTAAGAAGGAAATAATAGAAAAGAGGTTTAGACCCGTTTTTAATTTTTTTTTTCGAAATCGACAAATCAAAATTCAAACCGTGGCAGAATTCTATTGTCACTTTTTCGAGTTTTGATCGAGAAAAGTTTAGTTTGACAGGTTGACGATTGAGATAATTGAGAGAGGATTGATGTTGTTGGGGATGCAACATACCAATATAACAATATGTACCCCACCTCTCTTGTCTCGCTCGCTTTTCGTTGCTTACTTCCTGTTTGTTTCCTTTTTGTTTTTTTTTCTTTTGGTTTTTCTGTCTGTCAAAATTAATTGGATATTTTCCAGCCTGAGCGATTTTTGATTGGTTGATTTGCCCACATAATAATAGTCGATAGATAATAGGTGATTCCAAAATAATAATACATCATTATCTCTTGGTTTTTTTTCACATTGTATGACAATAAGCGCGTGTGTGCGTGTGATGTGTGTGTATAAGTCATTCCAAAAGTCCAATCCATGATTCAATCAATAAGTCATTGTTCGTGATTCTTACTCGAATTTATCCCTTGCTTCCTGATACGTAACAACAATATCAAAAAGTCTCGTTGGATTATTGCTGACTGACTGTCTGAATCATTCTGACATATTGATGACTTTTAACCGAATTGACAAGAAATTTTTACCCGCTCGCAGTTATTCTTTCTCTAGCATTAATATTTACATACACAAATGCATGCACACATAACTATATGCTCATATAATAACTTGTTGACCAACCAACGGACAAGCTATCAGATTACATTTTTTCTCCTTGCATGAGTATTCTACGCACTTCGGTAGAATCCCTTTTCTCCCTGCGAATACATGAATGATTTTCACTCTATTTCAACTCTCTCTCATAATAAATTATATTTAATTTCCTTTTGAGTTCGATATTCTAGCAAGATTTCCCTCCAGCCAAATCACATCAACGTTCATAATATAAAACAGTAATAGAATAGTTCCTTTTCATATTCAAATCAATCAATCTATCAGTCAAATATGTTACGCCTTTTAATATATGTTCATTATGCCGCATACACATATATATATATATATTTTTTCATATGTACAGTACAATATGTACTATTCCTCATCCGGTGACTATTATATCTCTTTTTTTTTTGCACCACGTCAAACTAAAATCCGCCTACTTAATTATTTGTGACTATTAAAATATGTGTCAATCAATCAATCAATGTAATCAATTTATTCAACCACCGCTATATAGTAAAGTATATTATTGTGCAGTTTGTATTATCCTTTTGTTGACTCCCTTATTCAGGGCTTAGATCAAGTTCAGTATATATAGTGATTGTAGGCCGAATTATGATATCACTAAAACCCGCAAAAATTTATTGGGTTGAAGAAATTAGCTTGTGAGAGCAACAGAGCACGAACACTCTGCTTTGTTCCACCTTTTATTATTATTATTATTATTAATATAATTATTGTCACCCGTGTGCACCAATTTTCTTGTCTTGGAAATTATTATTAGGAAACGAACTCTTTCACAGCTTGTCTTTTTTTAACGAAACCAACTTTTTCTATTCTCGCGTCATTACAAATCTTTTTCTGAAGAAATCTCTTTTTTTTGGTTAATTTTTAATCTTTTTAGTAATATAATAATATATATATATATATAATATAATAAGAATATAGTAATATAATCATAATAATAAACAACAATAACAACAACAATAATATAATCATAATAATAACACACGACATCTAAACGAAATATTGCTTACCCAAACCACATACAATTCTATTATAATGGCTGGAAAGTAAGTATCACTTCTCTATTTTAGCTTAATATTCGTAGAAAAAAAAGGTGAACTCTTCTAATCCTGTTTTTGTTATCCTCTTTCTCGACCAGAACTTTCAAATCTATTCAAGAAGAACTTGAACATTATAAAACAAGAGCTCTTGAACTTGAAGAAAATTTAGCGGAAACACAAGCAGCTCTTGAAGAATTTCAGCAATCATCAAAGGAACTCGAGGAAGAACTTGAAAGGGAGCTTGAGCAATCAGAAAAAATGTGCCGAGATTTAAAAACCAAAAATGAACAATTAAAGAATGAAGTTGACGTATGGAAGGTAAATCTTCTATACCTTTCTATGCCAATCATTTCCTTTTTTAGTTAATGATGCAATACTAAAATCATTCATCTCCAATTAGCAAAAATATTATCAATCTAAATCCGAATCAAACATCAATACCACACAAATGCAAAGAGAGCTCGATAGCTTACGATCTCTTAAAGAAAAATTTATGATTCAAACGAGAGAACTTGAACTCCACAATGATGATTTAGAGCGAACAGAACGGTTTGTATATTAAACATCATACTCGATCATTATCATCATCATCATCATCATTCTTCTTGTTATTAAACGATCTCCATTACTTATCGTCAATAGAGCTGCTCAATCATCTTTGATGGATCTGGAAAATAAATATAACAAAGCAATTGAACGAAATGTTTTACTCGAGAATGAACTTGAAGGAAAGAATCAATTGATTGTACAAGTACAAAGATTAAAGGATGAATTACGAGATGTAAATATTGAAATGGCAATCTTAAAGAACAAACAAGATGGAGAATATGGACCACCAACAGCAGCTGCAGTCACCACCTATTCGAGACCAAGTTCAGCAATGTCTGTCGATAGTCCTCCACCGTCAAGCCCCACTTTCTCCTCACACGCGCAATCAAATCCTGTTATGATGGTTCAAGAAATGGTTGGACGAGTAAAGGTATTTATTCTTGTTTGTTAGGCTTCATTATTATTGAATAAACCTATAAAATAATGATAACTAATACCTAATTTAATTTTATCAGAGTTTGGAAGCCCGTCTTGTCTCGTGTAGATCACTTGTAACCCCTCTTTTAGCCCCACCTCCATCATATTCTACAACGATGCCACTTTGCACATCTCCACCTTCACCCGTATTCTCAAAACATCGAGCAGACATTCCTTATCGCTCACCTTCAAAACCGCATCGACGATCTTCAGCTCAAAAAAAACAATTCATGATACATACTCCAATGTTCACTCCAACACCATTTCAAGTCTGAACACTGAATATGCGAACAATTTCATTGAACTAATTTATTGACTGATCTGATTACTGTACGCGTGTTTGGCTTATTGACGTTTCTTTTTTTTTCGATCTAAGGAATCGAAAATTAAAAATCTTCTCTATTGAACTTTATCTTTTTTTATAAAAAACGTTTGTAGAAAATTATTATGTAGATATATAAACTTTTTTTCTTATTTTACCTTACTCTTCCCAAATTTATTTACTTACCTCTACTTCACAAAATCCCATTTTTTTTTTGATTACTATTATTACACATATATCCCATATCTATCCACCCATATCTATTATATTACCCACCCAAAACACAACACATTTTCTATCATAGTTATCTCGATTTTCATGAATATCTTCCTTCTTATATATTCATTTAACTTTCTAATCTTCTTATTACATAAGGACAAACCCACATATACAGATTTGGTCACTGCGCATCTCCTTTCCTCTCCCCTTTCTACAAATAATTATCCCAACGAAAAATGATTATTCTTGGAAAGGATAAGCATTATCTTGGGCTTATTTGCAGAATCTAAAAATCTACACATCTTAGTATAGTTTTCAATGTAGGATAAATTTATGATGCTTTTCGTGCGTGTGCTTAGATTTCTAATTATTCCCTCTTTGCTTTTACATTATTCACGCCCTCTCCCACATTGACATTTGTGAATTCGCGGATGGCAATGGGTGTGAATTGTATGGGCAATAGGAAAATGAGATAATTAACATACACATGATGGCATTACAACAACAATCACAACAAGAATACAGAAAAAACGACATCGATAGCCCTTTGTATTTAGTGAGTGATGTTTGTAGATTAGATAACCTGTCACGTGTCACTCACACGAAGCACCCAAATCCTTTATATAAGAAGCAAAAATAATTATTATTATTATTATTATCGTATAAGCTTAAAGAAATAAGAATTAAAAAATCCAAAAAATATAAATTTTATACCCTGTTCATTTCTCATTTCTCTTGTGGGTTTTTCACCATCATCATCTTTTATTGTTATTGATTAATAATAATGGGTAGTTGTGTTTAATGTCATTAATTGGGTAATATTAAATTAGAAGCGGATATTAATTATAATTGGCCTTGATCCTTTTTTCTTTTAATCAGCAAAACAAAATGCCCTTCGTCAATAATTTACTCCTTATTTTTAATCTTTTAGCCCATACATATAAGAAATCGATTTTTTTTGTTTTGTTTTAAGCATATATTCCGGATATTATTCTTTATGCACACAATAAACTTTTTTTATTTCCTTTGGGATTATTCGAAAATTCTCCTTTTCCTTAACATTAATTTCGTATTTCACTAATGCTTTCGTAAATAAATTTGGGAAATCTTAATCAAAATTATTATTGTTTTTTTTATTATTAAAAAATACTTCATCTTTTTATTATTCATGTATATCTTTTTTACTTTTGAAAAAAATTTTAATTGGACTTTAATCACTTTGAAATAAATAATAATTTTTAATAATAATAACAATTTTTCTTTGTTGAATATTGTAAACTTAAAATTTCTTATATTTGGATTTCATATATATATTTATTAAAATGGTTTAAAAATGTATTAATATTTTAATATATAATATAAAATTAATAAATTGAAATATATTATAAATATAAATCAAATTTTTTTAAATTCAATATTATCTAATATATTTGTTGTTTTTAATTATAAATTCAAATAAATTTTATTCTTTTAAATTCAAGTTAAAATAAGTTTTAATTTTAATAATAATCAAAAAGAATCAATATTTAGTTTTTTTACTAATTATAATTAAGTATTGCATTCTTTTTAATTATTATAAAAAAAAATATAATAAATATAAATTATTATTTTTATTTAATATAAAATTTTAATTTTAATTTTATTAATAAATTAATTGAATATTATACAAAATTTCTATTCTTAATTTTTATTTTTAATTTATTTATAATTAATAATAATTTTTAAAATTTTAAAATTTTTATTTATAATTCATTTACTTTTTATTAATTTCAGAAAATTTTAGTATAATTAATTTTAAGAAAGATTAGCTTAAGATCAAAGTTAAAATTAAGATTATAATTATATATAAAATTATCTCATTATTATTTTAAATTAATACTTTAAGCTAGATTTAAGTATTTATTTTTTATATTTTTAAAAATTTATATATTTTTATTAATTTATAATATAAATAAATTAAAAACAAGAAATTTTAAAACTTAAAATTATTATTAATTATAAATAAATTAAGAATAAAAATTTAAATAAATCAAAAATAAAAATTATAATTATTATTTTTAAAATATATAAAATTTAATTTAATTATTATTATTATAATTAAAGATTAAATAAAATATTTAATTATAAATATATAAATTATATAAATTATTTAATTAAAATTATTATAATTTCTTATAAGAAAATAAATATATATTATATAATTATTAAGAAAGAAAAGTGAATCTTAAAAATCTTATTTTTTATATAATCAAAATAATTAATTAATTAAATATAATAAAAATCTTATCTGATAAAAAAGAAATTAATTTTATAGTAATTATAAATTATATGATATTATTCTTTAATTAAATAATAATTTTCTTAAAATATTATTATAATATAAATAAATTTATTTAAATTTATTAATTAGAAATAATATTATAATTATTTATAATCTAATAATATTTTATTTATTATAATATTATAATTTAAAATTTATAATTTAATTTATTATAATTTAATAATATTTTATTTATAATAATATAATATTTTATTTATTATTAATATTAAATATTATAACTAATCATCTATTTTTATAATATAGTAGATATAATACAGTATATGATATAGTTATAGCATATGATATAGTAATCATCAATTACTACTAAATTAAATAAACAAGAAATTTATATTAATTAATTTTATTTATTATTAATTCTATTTTTAGTTTATATTATTATCTATTTAGTCTTATTAATTTAACTATATATATTACACTTAATTTATAGTTTTATTAAATTAATAATTTCCTAATTAATAATTAATAATTTTCTTTCTTTTCTCACTTTAGCTTTAAATAACTTAATATTTTATTAATTTTAATTCTTAATTATCATATATTTAATATTTCTTGTAATTATTCTTTTAAAATTCTACTTGTTCTTAAGTAAATTAAGTAAAATATTATATTAAAAATAATTTGTAATTAATATAGCAAGAAAATATTATATAGTCTGATCTAAAAAAATTAGAATTTTTTATTTATTATTACATTATATTAAATTATATAAAATTTTTTTTATTTGATATTTAGAAATAAATAAATTTATTTATATAAAATTAATATTAAATATATTTTTTATTATTCTCTATAATTAGTTCATATTATCTCTTTATTGATTATACTGTTACTATTTTAAGATTATATGTATGTAATTATTTTAAAATGATAATAGTGACTATGTTCATAGCAGTTATTTACTTTTATAACTTCAAGAAATTATATGACTGATTATCTTCTTAATAAGATGATGTATATAAGATTTAGTGCTGACAAAATATGGTTATCTTCTCAATAAGATAATTTATACGTGTTTTATTTATAATAAAAATATGATTATTTTCTCAATAAGATAATATATATAAATTTACTTCTAATAAAATATAATTATCTTTTCTATAAGATAATATATGCAAGTTTTACTTGTAATAAAATGTTCTTTCAATAGAGCATGAAGAAATAAGATAAGATATAAGATAAAATATGTGTGTTTATTAAAGAAAAAATATTAATTAACTATTCTTAACTCAGTAGTAATTACTTCTACCAAACTTAATTATTCTTCTTGATCACTTCTTGACTCTCTATATATAGTAT